TTTACATGAAGCAGCCAATTCAAAAATTAAATTATATAATTGTAAACACAAATACAAAAGAAATAATGAAAAGTAAAATGCAAAAACAGTACGTCATTTTGATACCAAAAGCTTTATCTATATTGAAATATCAACTTACTGTCAAATTAGGCATGTGAAGATCCATTTTAAAAAAATAAGATTTATTGCTTTGTAAGTAATTCATTTTGCAACCTTCTAATGAAAGCTTTTCAATAGTGCATGGAAAATCTGTTATATGAATCTGTAAAAGTCGCGTATTGTAGTAAATTATATATATATTTTATGATAGAAAAGAAGAAAGCAGACAGAAAAAAATCATATTAAGTACATTCTAACATTTTAAAAACAAGAATATGTCACTTATAATCATTTCTATCATAAAATATACCTTATCTCCATTAATATAATATTCTTCAATGATCAATTCTTTTAGTTGATCACATAGCGTTTTCACATTATTAAAGAATCTTTGTGTAAGAGATGAACGTTCACGAGAAATCAGATTGCCACGCATTGCCAAACTCATTGTTATTGGTTGCAAAAACTTCATATACTGATTCAAATCTTCTAGATATATGGGCTTTGTTCGAAAATCTGCTCTTCTCCACAGAGTTCTGTCTTGCGTTAATTGTGCAAATCTTTGACAACATCTATGATTCAAAGAAATAAATAAATAGAAGCATCATAACGGATATAACATAGATAAATAGAACTCACAAGCTGATTGCCATAAGATCTTGTGGATGTAAATATTTCAATATATTAAGTAAAACATCATCCGAGAATCCAAGAATATGTAGAGATGTTGATCCATTTAAATTTGCAAATTCTTCAAGTTTTATACGTTTTGTATCTCTGCTACTAGATGGTTCAGGAGAAAGAGACTTACTGCGCTTTATTTTCATCTCTCTTTTTTCTCTTCTTCTTTTTTATCTATAAAACAAAAAAGAAAAAATAAGAAATCCACATACTTCATAATTCTACGATTTAGAGAAGATTTTTATGTAATTTTAATATTTTTAATGTATGTTATAAATTATACACAATGTCATAAAAAATTTTAATGTATGCAAATATAATATAATTTAACTATGTTTTCTCTACAATTACTATATTAAAAAATTTTTTTAATAAAAAAGTTATGTTTTTTACATGTGATAAATAATTGAGAGGGTCTGCTATAGATATAGAAATTATAAATCCTTCTGTATATTTTCATGGATTTAAATAAAATTAATCAGATTTTTTCATATTATGACCAAAAAGATTGTAACACAATAAAAATTTAATTTATCAAAACAATCTAATGTTAACTGTTGACTTAATCATTTTCCCTTGAAATCTAGAAGCAATGGATGCATCCAGAAGCATGATCGCTCACTGAGTGCTCAGTGAGTTCTTGCATCTGATTGGCATATTCCATTAGATCTAAAAATATAGATAATATAAGACCAACAGGTACAAGAGATCACTGAGCACTCAGTAAGCGGTCGTACTTCTGGATGCACCTAATGAGAAAATCTTAAATAATCATACATACACATATACATACAGTGATGGGAGAAAGTTCGGCAACGGTCAAATATCTTGGAAAATAATGCTTATGGAAAAAAATGTTCAATACAAAAGTTTTAGTATATCAAGTGGTCTATTATATGGTTATGTTGAAATGACCTTCGTGTGACCTTGAAGGACACCGTGAAGGTCAACTTTGAAATCTTAAATGGAAA